CACACCCACATCCACACACCCACCCACACCCACCCACACCCACACCCACACCCATCCACACCCTTTTTTTATAAATTTTATTCACTATTTCGAATGAATAAATTTTGATCTGCTTGTCAAAATTTAGTTGCCCTGAAAATTTCCAAATTTCTGACGAACCGTTCTCTTGAAATTTGAGAAAGGGGAAACAAACCCTTGAATGCAAGCATGACACATTGACGTATTCTTCATTTCAATTTAAAACTACTGGAGCAAGCGAACATTTTTGAATTGATTATGCTTTCTCTTTTCTGTTATATGACTCATGTTATTACAGCAACATGATTGTTTTGTGGCTTTTTTCCTTGCGAGAAAGCAAGCCGAGGAAATTTGACTCATTATATACAATGGCTATATATATAATGTCCAAACTAAGCAAATCTTAGGAAATAATTTGGTTTGCTCTTCAATCATCAATAATAACAGTCGGTTAGGAAGAATATTTCTAGAAGTGCTTATATCTATTTCAATGACTAATACGAATAAATTAAATAAAGTTCTTTGGACAAATATTACTCAACTTAAATTATCGAATAAAGAAGGTTCACCAGTAAGATTTTTACTTGATAAATCACCATTTGATGAAAATGATGATGATGATAATGATAATAAAAATTCATTGAAAAATACTGAATATGTTATCATTGGACGAATATTACCAAACTCAAATATATTTAAAGAAAGTTCATTTCAAATAGAAATGAAATTAACATCAAATTATCCATTTGAACCTCCTGAAGTTAGATTTTTAACTCCAATTTATCATCCAAATATCGATAAAAATGGTAAGTAAATGCATATTATTTACTCAATTTAATTATATTTATATATTGACAATAAATTAAGGTAAATTTTGTCATCCACTATTGACAAAAACTACAAGATGGAAACATGGAGCAACTTTAATCGATGTTGTAAAAGCTGTTGTTGAACATATTGACAATCCAGATATTGATTATGCCGTCAATACCAGTTAGTTTTTTTCTATTGTGAAAAATAAAAGAAAAAAGAAAACTTTTCAATATATTTTGTTTTCTTAAATTTTTATATAGATATAGGTCGAGAATATATGGAAAACCGAGCAGAATTCAATCGGAAGTGTTTGGAAATGGTTCAACGATATAAATTACCACGGAATTAAATAATTTTTATTTTAATTATGCATATATTTTTATCCATGTATCTAGGAAATATGATTTATTTTTGTCTTATAAATAAAAATATAGTGATATCTTTTAAAAAAAAAGGCTTACCGTACAAATTCTATAGGGTGTGGTTGTGGGACAAGGAGGAAAAAGCTCAATTGCACCCATTCGAATGGTTGCGAATGCTCCGAATGGATGCGAATGGCTCCGAATGGCAGCGAATGGCTGCGATTGGCTGCGGATGGATGTGAGTGAATAAGAAAAGACATAAAAAACTATGGATGACTCGAAAATGAGGGCGGACCAGTCTAGAGGTGGCCATTTTACTTGCCTTTCGGAAAAGAAAGCAAGATGGAACTCTCCTTTCTGAACAAGAAAAGAGAAAAAAGTTATTCAGTAAGATGGGTGTCTAATACTATAAAGTTCCTATAACTGTTCATGAGGGTGTGGGTGAGTGGATGTGGGTGGCTGTAGGTGGGCGTGCGTGTGGGTGTGGGTGTGGGTGTGGGTGTGGGTGTGGGTGTGGGTGTGGGTGTGGGTGTGGGTGTGGGTGTGGGTGTGGGTGGGGGTGAAATGAAGAAGTGCAT